AACGCGTCGAGGGATTGCGTATTTTTTAAAAAACGGTGTTTGACAGTTCTTGTCCTCCGTGTAACAGTTTTCTGTTCATTGTACCCTTAACTTCTGGGTAGGCGTGACGACCGACGTTGCCTTTTTGCCGTTAGAGTGGTCACGTTGGTTCTCTACTGCTTCAAGTAGGGAGGAACCTTAAAAAAGGTGGGGTTGGATAGTTTTGGAACGGGAGTAAAAAAAAGGGGAAGTACGGTAAGATGGGCGGAAGGTCAAGGATGTTGAAGATGAGTTTACTCATCTTCAAACACTCTCGGGGTTTGAGGAGGCTGCGTACTGTTCTTGGTCAGATGATCGAGAGTATAATCATCCGAGTTGATACCCTCGGTAGGCGGAATTCTGTCGTGAGAAGGGCCCTAGTCGAATCCCTCGAGAGGAGCGGCTGTCTCCTTGAGACATTATATAGACTCATACTAGAGCCGATCGGTAGGTATGCAAGGTTCGCCTCACTAATTTATAAGAAGAGGATTAAGCCGCTACTCGTCAGTACATTTGCTGCCTTCGATCGTACGTGTACTATACTACGCTTAGCGCTCGATACTTTGCTGTCTGGTAACTAGAATGCAGGCGAATATGGCGGGCGTGATGGGATCCAATACCGGTGTACAAGCCATCGGAGGCCCTGGACACCCGATGATGACTGGGCAGAACATTGGTGGATCACCAGTTGGAGGCATGCCTGGCCTGCCGATGGCATCAATGAATGGTGTGAACATTTCCCCGCCTATTAACACTCCGGTATCACAGTACGGAGTTGTTACCTGCTACATCTGTGGGAGGAACGGGCACTATGCCCGGAATTGCTGGCAGGCGGCAAGCAAGCAAAAGCCGGAGGAAGAGAATAGTGAGGTGAGAGAACTGCTGCAACGAATAACGTGACATGAGAGAGAGGAGGAGGAGAAGAAAAAACGAGAGAAGGAGGAGACTAGAAAGAAGGAGGAGTTTGAGAGGAAGGAGAACGAAAAGATACGCGAGGAGGAGGCACGTGAAGCGCGTTTAGAAGCAACTATCGTGCGCATTCTGACGCAGAAGAGGGAGATGCTCGTAGCTTCGAACCCCCAGCTAGTGATCGAGCCTAAGAAACGCTCACCGCGTTCGAAGGCTCGAATCCTGCGTGAGCTTAGAAGCTATATAGCTGAATCTGACGAGGATAGTGAGGAAGTTAAAGAGGAAACTGGCAGGCTGTTAGAGGAACTTGAGAAGAAGAAGAAGGGAAGGCGAGTGAATGCAGCACCACAGGCAACTACGAGTCGCACATATAAGAAGAACTTTGCGGCGAAGCAAGCGATGGCGCGACAGAAGACCGCGAACGAGGACGATTTCAGAACACCAACGAAGATGTGCGCCGCCGAAGCTTCGAGTGAAGGAATGGTGGACTACGCCCTCACGCAGACAAAGACCTTGTCTGCCCTCAAGGCAAACGAGATCCGAAAGATCTGCGATCGCGAGGGCGTAAGGTACGTAGTCAAGAACCAGGCTATCGAGGAGATCGTCTGCTGCCGCACTAGGCTCGCTTACGAAGGCTTCTTCGAGAAGGAACGAGCGACACCATCTGACAAGGCGACAGTGGAAGGACTGGAGCGGATTCGGTGATGGACGATCTGTCGTCACATGCCGCTGTAGGACGCCTGCGTGAACTAATGACCAAACGAAGATGGAGAGACGTGGACGAGAATGAGTTGGCCCTACTGGTTTTGCTCCTCACCATCCGTGGTTGTATCCCTTGGATACAAAAGCTCATACGCTTCGTTGATCCCGAACGGGTTGACGTGAATCAGGCAGGAGTCTATGCCCTCGTTAGTCCGTTCTGCAGGAGACTCTATATTGGGTGTACTGTCAGGCGGATTATTACCAGATGGGCGGAACATGTGAGATGTTCCAAAACCGGGAAATCCGGCAATGCCCCAAAATTGAATTCGTGGCTAAGGCACTACGGATGGCATAACTATGTAGTTTTGCCACTCGTAACCGACGTGAAGGATGGAACGGCCGTGGAGACAATGCTGATCCGCAGGTTTTCACCTGCACTCAATAAGATCGGGCGAGTTCAAGGCGGAAGACCAAAGCAACGACGTGGTAGAGTATCACAAGGACGAAGAGCAAAGGGGGGAGTAATTCTTTTTGAGTATGGCGGTGCGAAGTTTGCCTCCTTGATCGATCTATTGCAAGGGACGGATCAACCGACATGGGAGATCGACTTACGTACCGAATCCGGGAATGTCTGGGTTGACACGTGGAAGAAGATCCGGGAGAACTATGGCGAGTCAGTTATCGTCATCCGGATGGAGAGAAAGAAACTTCGGTGCTGTAAGGTTGTTTTGGAAGGAGGAAGACTACCAGTCGTACTCTGCAAAGAAGGTTAAGAAGATGACATTGACAGCCTCCATGCTCAGATTGTGGAGAACGTCCACTGACGAAGGTGCAACTTTGGTATCTATTGTCTGCCTTGTAAAAGAGGCTCGCCTCCGAGACTACACCCCGGAGGTCTTCTTCGGATCCTTGGCAAGGTTTGCCAAGGTGGTAGGAGGTCCCTGGAGGTCTTTGATCTCACAGGTCTACCCCCACCAGAAATGGCTTGTTGAGTAGGATGTTCTTCTCTGCATCTGTGGCCTACCCCCCTTCCCCACCCGGAAAGCTCATTAGCCCCTGAACGGAATCCGACTTTCGAAAAAAAGGGGGTTCTCAGTATCTCGAAGTTTCTCATTTTTTCAAATTCCCCGGCACTTTTTTCAGATATACCTGGTTTTTTTTTGGGCACCGCACCCGTTGGCCCCCAGAAGACCGTATTTCGAAATTTTTGGGATTTCTGGGGTCTTTTTCGAAATCTCCGATCTCTAATTTTTTTGGGCACCTCTGACACAGTTTATGTACATTGGTGATCGTATTTTTTAGGCACGAGTATTCCGATTTTTTAGTCGTGATCTGCAGCTGACCTCGGTTTTGGGCACTGTTCCGAGAGTTTTTGTAAGTATCAACGATCAGTACGATGATCTGGTGCTAGGCGTTCATGCACATGTATATGTAGTGGTAATACAGTGGTTTTACCTCACGATTTTGCAACACGGCGGGTCCTGGCACTGTTGACGATTGTAGCTCTTCTCACGCTATGACAAAGTTGAGCGAGGATATGAGGGCGGGTGATGGCACGCTTGGTCTTTATGGACGAGGACAGTACGGGCCGGAGGAGGCTGGAATAGCGGACAGACGGTGGAAGGATAGGGAAAAAGTTGGGCGATATGCTATGATGAACTATAACGTCGGTCTCTTATACACATCTAGATGTGTATAAGAGACAGCTATAACGTCGATAAAGATGCTTGTGTATCTCTATTTTGATGAGGGTGGAGTGTCCTCCTGAAGAGGCTTGGGTACGCACAAGCCGAAACGCGTCGAGGGATTGCGTATTTTTTAAAAAACGGTGTTTGACAGTTCTTGTCCTCCGTGTAACAGTTTTCTGTTCATTGTACCCTTAACTTCTTCTTCTTCTTCTTCTTCTTCTTCTTCTTCGGGGGAGGTTTGGAGTTCGCAGGGGGATGATGCATAGCATTGACTACGATCATGCAGTGGATGGCTTCCGACGACGAGAGTGTTGACCAATTACCATAGCCGAGGTACCCCCCTATTTCTCATACAGCGGGATCTCTCCGATGCGAGGTGTTAAGCATTTTATCCATCTCATGCCTGACTATCGTGTCCACCATGATGCACCCTACCGACTCTCGATTCTAGAGGCGACGAAACTCAAGCATTAGCTTGAGGATCTCCTTCGACTAGTTTTTATTAAACCTAGTAACTCCCCCTGGGGTGCACCCGTTCTCTTTGCTCGCAAAGAGGATGGAACCCTTCGCCTCTGCATCGATTGTAGCGGCCTTAATCGTTACACGACTAAGAACAACTATCCCATGCCTCGTGCGGATGAGCTGTTTGACCGTCTGGCACGCAACTGCTTCTTCACGAAGATTGATCTTCGTAGCTGTTACCACAAGATCCGCATTGCCGCAGAGGACCAACAAAAAACCTCCTTTCGATCACACTTCGGCTACTATGAGTTCACGGTGATGCCATTCGGCCTCACCAATGCACCGGCCACCTTCGAGACAACGATGAACAATATCTTCAAGGACATCCTTGAAGAATACGTTCTCGTACACTTGAACGACATCTTGTTCTATAGTCGTACCTTAGAAGACCATCTCAGACACCTCTGCGATGTCCTACAGTGCTTACGCAAGCATGACTTCTATGCCAAACTCAGTAAATGCCCCTTTGCCGAGCATAAAGCGCACTTTATAGGACATCATGTGTCTGACCAGGGTCTCGACATGGAGGACGTGAGGATCACTGCTATCGCGGAGTGACCCGTCCCCACATTCGTCAAGAAGCTTCGCAATTTTTTAGGCCTTACTAGTTACTATAGTAATTTATTCCAAGGATACGCTAGGTATTCCTACGTCCTTACCTCCMCCCTCCTCTGGACGAGCCCGCCATGGTTTTGGATACCCCTCTGCGAGGATGCTTTTCGCGCCCTTAAGAAGGCGGTGACTTGTGTGCTGGTTCTTCGCCTTCCCGATTTTGATCGTCCCTTCATATTCACCACCGATACGTTAGATTTTGCAGTAGGAGTTGTACTTTCTCATATGTTTCTCACTCCTCCCTTTTCCCTTTATCCCCATGTTTCCTACTCCCCCCCCCCCTTCCTGCTGACATTGCTTCTCGACTGATGCCTATCCTTCCACCACTTCCCTCCACTGACAGTCCCCCCGTCACTTACTCCCCGGCCATCGCAGAGGATGGGACTGCCAAGGCTCGTGTTGGGGATTGCCCGATCGCCTTCTACTCTCGTCAACTACTGCTTGCCGAGATAAACTACATTGCCGACGAACGTGAGGTTCTCACAGTAGTTGATGCCACCCGGCATAGGCGTCATTATCTGCACGGGGTGCCCTTCACTGTGCACAGGGACAACTGAGTTGTCCAGGTTTTCCTCACGAAGCCCAAGTTGTCCCCTCGACGGGCACATTGGTTACGTGATTTATCCGAGTTCAGTTTCACAACTCGTCCTATCAAGGTTGAAACGAACTGCGTCGTTGATGCCTTGTCCCGCCGTCCTGACCACAATCAGGAACCCATTCACCTTGCTGCCACCTTGGTCACCACCATTGATCACTCGGTGATTAATGCATATCGCACTCAGTACCACCACAGTCCGGATTATGGCGACATCCACGCGACACTGCGGAGTGGCAAGATTGTTTTTTTATACTCCCTAGCCGAGAATTGTCTACTGTACTGGCGTGGTAAATTAAGTCAACTCGAACCACGTATATGTGTTCCTTCCACTAAAGAGCTCCACGTCCAGGATGTCGTAAAATTCCATGACCTGACAGTTGTTGGTCATTTGGGTTTTCATAAGACGTTGGCCCATGTTTGCCGCCTATACGTTTGGCCGAAGTCCAAGGACTTTATCAAAGCCTACGTCCAGGAGTATCCTACCTGCAAGGAGGTGAAGAGTGCGAACCACCTTTTGTATGGGTTACTTCAGCCTCTACCCGTACCTGAGGGTCGTTGGCAGTCCATTTGGATGGATTTTGTTGGTACCCTCCGCCCTCCCACTCTGAGCGCGGTCATGATGCCATCTTGGTCGTCGTCGATCGCTTCACGAAGCGTGCACGTTTTGTCCTGTGCCGCTATCGCATTAACGTTCATGAGGTGGCCGACATCGTCTTTGACCGAGTCATGAGAGATCACAACTTACCTCAGAGCATCATCTCTGACCGTGACCCGCGCTTTACCAGCACATTCTGACGATGCCTACACGAGGTGTACAAATCCCAACTCCGCTTCTCGTTGTCTTACCACCCTCAGACGGATGATCAGACTAAGGTCACCAATAAAACTCTCGGTAATATCCTCCGAAAGTTTATTAGGGATGACCAGAATGAGACTTACACTTGGCCCGCATGAAGATTGCGTACAACCATGCTGTTTCGTTAGCCACGGGGATGTCGTCATTCTATTGCGACCTCAACTACCACCCTCGCGTACCTGCAGATTTCCTACGACTGTCGCGGTTGTGCCAGACACTCATTGTCTTGCGCTTAACGTGTGGATCGCCCATATGGCGACGATTATGAGGCGCGCACACGAGAGTCTAGCCGACTCCCGGACTCGCATAACCGCACGAGTGAACCGATCACGAATGAATCATCAATTCAAAGTCGGTGACGATGTGCTCATCGATGCACGCCACTTGCACTCAAAACAAATACGCTTCGCAAGTTCAGGCGTCGCTTCTTCGGTCCATGCCGCATCCTTTAGGCCGTCGGTTTTGATACTGCCGCTAGTCCGGCCAGCTTCCGTGTGAAGCTACCTAGTTACCTTCGACAGGTTTGTGTACATGATGTATACCACCTCTCCTTGTTGTGTCCTTATCACAGACTGTCCGTGCACTTCGTCGAATGGCCTTATGAGCGCCCTCCACCTATCATGGTGGGCGATCACAAGGAGTTCGTCGTTTCAGACATCATATATCGCTGAGTTACCGACGATATCCCTCCACGCATCGAGTACCTTGTGCGTTGGAAGGGTTATCTTGATGAGGAGGCTACTTGGGATTCCCTTGAGCACTTGGGGCATATC